TTTTCAGGCAAAGGTGAATGTACACTCAGCAATCACAAAAAGGGAGATGTAGATAGAGAGGAGCAGAAACGGTAGTATTTCCAAGCTTTCAGAGTGAGTAGTGAATAGAAGAACAATGGTTTTATCCTACAATTATTCTTCCCATAAATGTCCACAAGCACACAGCCAAACAACCACAACATATAAATCTACAAAACAAAACCATTTGAATTTTATTTACATTATCAGCTTTCCCAGGACTTGCAGACAACCTAAATATCTCAGTTCAGCCCTCTTAATTCCATACCATCACTGGAGTGAGTACTGTAGGTGGGCCATTCCCTACATTGTCTTAGTCAGTGTTCGAGTGCCTTCCTACCTATTAAATATTAACCTAGAGCCACAATAAACATGAACTACAAAGTGATAACTGGGCTGTAGGGTTAACACTACAGTCAATGCCTACTGAAGCAAGGCAAGTAGAGAAAAAATTACTGAGGTAGACTCCCATCATCATACATACTGTAGATCCCCATCTAAACACTTTGACTGTGTGTATCAGTTTAGTGTTTTTGTTAGTCATGTGGCTTTATATCTACAGTATATGCCATTTTTGTCATCATAATGCAAAATGGTACTCTAGCTTGCACGTTTTCTGTAACCTTCTTAGCTTCTTTGTGTATAGTACCAACTTGTTATTTCTATTACACCATAATAACAAAGAACGTTTCTGCAACTTCACCAGACCAGAGCGTTCTCCATTCTTGTCATGGGTCCATCATGCTCCTATTCATTCAATCAATCTCTCAGTCAGGAACAGGCTGAAAGCTGCTAGCTCCTTCCCTACAGTAAACTGCATCTAGTTGGTTCAGTCCCGCAATAATAGCGTTGGGTGCAGATTAGCTGCCTATGACAGTGTGACATGGTCTGACACAGCAGCGGGAGGTGGAGGTCACAGGGTCTTCTGTAAACGGGAAACACAAAAGACTCCGCTGCTGAAGCTGTCCGGATGTCATGTTACAAGGGCACAATGGGGCCGAAACACCAAGCGGAGAGCAGATAAAGCTCAGGATGGTATTCAACTCAGGGAGGGAGGAGGGATGTGGTGGGCAATGGAGTGGGGGAGGACATTAAAATAAAAATAAAAAGAAGGAGAAGGTGGACACTGCCCCAGAGAACCTTACCCCCTGACTGTGGACAACTTACTACATCAGGATTACTGAAGGGCAGGTTTTGCCTCAACAGTCACTTCACGTAAATCTGAAAATGCAAACTCACCTTGAAAGGTGAATGATCAAGCGCAACATCACAAGACAACAGCTGACTTGGGTGAAATGATAAAGGCCTATATACACTAGTACTGATAAAAGGTATCATGATGAGTACTGGGGCCGATGAAGCATGCAACACCCCCTCCCAACAACTCCCCACAGTCTCAAATATAATTCATTGGTGGCCATGCTTCACAGAACTGCTATCCAATCACTTTCAGACCTTCCAGCAGCAGCTGAAAGGTTGAAAAATACAGCTGAGACGCAGTTTTGTTTACATAAAAATGTTCTAACATCCCTCTGATGTAATGAGATTTCATAAATGAACACATATACTCCTTTCTCTTTAGGCTTATGCTAGCATAAAGATAAACATTCATGTGGACAATAGCCTCAGCAGTGACTAAAGAAGTGAAGGTTAAAAGAGCTGAACAAAGTGAGATTTCTTTTGACAGAAAGTCTCAAACTCCTTGACATTAAGAACTAATTAGTTTGCCTACCTGAAGATGAGAATATGGTTATTAAATGAAATGTTCTAAATCTTTGTATTACTGTTTATGTATTAGATGACAAACAAGAGACGTTTAATGATAAATAACAGCCTTGTTGAGGGGAGCGAAGCTATACAATTCCATAATCTCACTTTTGTGACCACAGAAAAAATATATTTGTACAAACATATCTTATGCTATTCAGGTGATTTTTGACTAAATATAAACTGCTGTACAGATAACTCTACACATTTCCTTGTATGTCCCATTCTCTGCATTAGCATCCATAGGCCAGACACCACCACAAGAGCTTGTGTTAGCATTCAAAAAAGGCTTAGTCCTTTCGTAATCTACCTGTGCTCAAATTCCAGCAGCTTACTGCTTGAAAGCATTTGTAAAGTGAGTAGACCAATGATGAATACATGAAAATAATAGCACAACTACCTACACAGTATGTGCAGTCAACCCCACACAACAAGCTGAATGTAAAGCTCTTTGAAATGACAGACTCTTAGACTCAAGAACACCGTGTTCCAAAGTTAAAGCGACATGTCCAAGAGGAAGACTGAATAGCCAGTGGCCAAAAGGTATGCAGGTCATTGGAGAATAACACTAATTTAAGGTTTTGGACTACAGTTTGGCAAGATCTGGACAATAAACAAGTTGTCTCGTGCCACTCAGAACTAAGGACGTTTACAAAGGAGGGGGGTGAAAGAGCACGGGACACAGAAAAATACAGTGTGAAGTCAGTGTAATCCAACACTTAATACCTTCTCCATGACTATCTGTCATTAAATAGCACAAAGAGTTCAGGCTACTGGCATGCAAACACAAAGACTGTACATTTGGTGCTAGAAGCAGGCTGCTATCCATCGGCCTGGCTTAGGACAAAGCTTAAACCCAGTGATACTACATGCTAAGGTCAGTCTGACATTCATTTTCATGAATTCCCTAATGGCCTTCGCTCTAGATTCACAGCTCTCCGGTGGCCGTGGCAAATTAATGCGTGAGGGCTCTCACTGTCAGCCCATAAGAAAGACGCTGCTCCTGTCTAAAAGGCGGTGTGAGTTTCGGGTTTTGGTTACACCAGGGGGAGACGCAGGGATAGGGAGCACAGAGAGGAGGTTGTTACTGCAAGTTTTGCTCTGGGGACACAAACAGAAGGACGGGACTGTTCCCCATACCAGTAACCTGGAGCCCTCCCTACTTTAAACCAACAAGACGGCCTAGTCAGCAGTGAACCCATGTGGTATGTAAGCCACTAAATCTCTATTCTGTAGAACTACATTTAAACACACATAGCTGTCTTCTTCCAACACTTGCTGACCACTGCTTGCTATGGTATCGTAAAACACACACAGGTCATTGTATGGAATTGAGCAGGTGGCGTACAGCAAACCTGCTCTTGCCTGTCAGTCAAGTAGCTCGAGAAGGAGAGGGGGTGTATTGCTGCTGCAAGCCAGAGAGTGTGTGCTGCAATCCTTAAAAACTCTTGTTCTGTCTGCTTCACCACTGTCATAGCTGCAATAGCCTAAACATAAGTGGAGTCAAGTGTGTGTGTGTGTGGGGGGGGGGGCATAAACTTGCTCAAACAAGTACTGTAGATAGCTAAGACGTAACAAAACGCCACAGGCAACAGGCCAAAATAACTGAAATGTAGCTAGCTGCAGCCTCCTTGTTTATGTGTGTTCACATATTGCAGCCACATGCAGGTTCCACTGTGTAGGCCACTGATATTCCAACTCTAATGTGATGCTATGAGGCAGGATGTGTTATGAAAGGCGGAATCAGTGTTGCATAAGTCGGATATAATAGGTCTATATATATAAAGAAAAAAAAAATACATATAATACAGCAAGACTTCAATTTCATTTAAAAGCCCCCCCCCAACAACAACTTTTCCTTCATGTCGACCCTGTTTGGACAACTTCCCTTGTTTCTGGTTTGTTTTGACCAGCCCAGTTCTAGCCCCATATTTGACTAAGCTGTACTGCCATCCCATCAGCTGTTCTAAGTCCCTCCCTCTCGTGGTTTCCGGCTAGTAACAGGCTACCCAATCATTAAGCTGGTTTCCACTGTGCTGGGACAAAAACAAAACCACTTCTTTATATGTTCTTCTGGAACATTGTATGGACTGGAAATGTGTCGCTATGGTTCACCTCTAGAGCTCACTCTGTCAGGCCTAAGTGAAGCTGAACAAACAAATCAGCAGCACAAAAGTAAACGTGGGGACAGCGACTTGAAAAACAGCACACTGGATGTTGCCTGAAAGTTCAAGCCTCCCCCAGTGAAAACGACTGCAGGCACATGACACCTGCTGTACCCCTTAACAAACAGCTGCCACACTCACTTCCAATTCCAACACTAATAAAATAAAACAACAAATAACAACCAGTCTGAAATGACAACAAGTAAGCCTTCCACATAATTTGCCTGCAGACACTGAGACACACAGAATCAGGTGGCCATTTTGATGTTGAAATTAACCAGCACACTAGCCAGAAAGCTCAGTAGCGTTACAAGGTAACATTTCAAGTGGCAGATGCAATAACACAATTAGAACAACATTAGTGGGGGTTGCAAAGCAAACGCTGGTACGAGCCGGAGTGCTATAACATGCTGCAGTAACGCCAACGTTTTAAACGAGTAGAACAAAAGACAGCAGCATTTTCCAGTTGACGTTAGCCTTACGTTATGTAAACAAGCTCCTGTGTCAACGTGTAATAGGACAGTTTGACTCAAGTCCCCTGACAACAACAACAACAACAACAGGCAGGACAAAGACACCAAATTGCCTAAATTAAAAGGTGTTTATACAGTCTACCGTTGCCAGGTCTATTTGGTGGTGCAACAAGATGAAAGACATCCCTGGGAAAAAGGAGAATAACGTTAGCGTCAGCTCGGCTGTTGCAATACATTTTTAAATATAGACAGCGAGCTGGACAGCTAACTGTAACGTTAATGTTACAAATATACAGAGTTGGAAAATGCTAGCAGGACATTGGACCGATCTGATTAGCTGTCCCGATGAGCGACTCACGGTTCGCAGGACAGAAATAGCTAACACTTGGCTTTGCTAGCAAAATGTTGTTTACACAAAAACACCAGTCATTCACAATGAAAGCTCTTTCTGCGTTGGGTTACCAAGACAAACAAGCAGCAACAACAAATAGGGTTTGCTCATATCACATTTCCACATACATCAGATAGCTGACTAGACAGCGATTGAGAGACTGTTGTTTATGTTCAGAAAGGATACAGTTTCACCACATCGGTATCCATTCGCCTTTTACCCGGACTTGGAGACGACATTTTTGCTATTTCCACCGCAGAGCACCAGCAAGTAAACTGAAAGCTAGCCCCGCGAAACGCTAGACAGTCTAGCAAACCGTACTATCCGAAAGTTAACATTTGCTTTCAGAAATGTCCACCGCAAAACGTCTTCTCACTCCAGTGTCTCTCTGTCCTAATGAGTAGCTGAGCTATCGTTAGACCTCTGCTGTTCACTGCCTCTCAGCGTACTGACCATGGTGCTGACAAGATAGGATCACTCCGCGGTTACCTCATATATGTGCGACCGAACGGCCATCTTTGTAGTCTTTTTCTTTTCTTACAGATTTTGTGGCTTAAAAATGTCACGTTAAAGTGCCATATGACACCGCTTACATTGTTGTTCCCTATTTAGGATTTTGAACATAATGTGGAAATATGAAGATTTACAAGGAGCTTTAATACAGTTACTCAGGATTTTGCCATTCACAAGGTTGATCTCATTGCTGTGGCACTTGGGTGTCTTTTGGTTTTTCCTGTCTTCCATGTTATTCACCAGAAGTGACACACCCTAAACTCTGGTTGTCAGAATATATTTCTCAACATGATTGACTGCAGTTGACAACCCTTAGAAGAGAACATTCTCCCAAAGATACAAACAGTGGGAGAAATTTTGCAGCTCATAGATGTTTTAATCTTTTGGAAGAACAATTAAATCAGCTAATGGCTGCTTTCTTTTTGTTAAATGGCCAAATCAGACGTAAGAGAGGTTGAAATTTACAGTATATAAATGAGACCTAATCAAGAGGATGTTTTCATGAGTACAACCATGGCTAAAAATATACAATTGTTCCAAGGATAGGCTCATATCTGCTTTAAAAATAGTTTTTTTTTTCACACGTTGAAATCACAAGGCTACCCTTTCAATAAAGCCAACATATCATCATCATCATTTGTGTAAAATATTGAATTCTAGGTAACATACAGTGTTTTGTAACTTCCACTCCACCCTTTACAGGCAACAAAATGGCTGCCACTGAGTAAGTAGTGAAAAAAATTTAATAGTTGAGCCAATAATCCAAAGTCACATCCATGTGAAATCACTGAGAAACCTTTCAGAAATCAGTCAGTGTGTAAGCTGCAACAGCAGGTAATAAGAGATTTTTCATACCTTAATATATGAAATATATAATCATTTAATCAATGTCCAATTCATTTTTTCTTTAGTTGATATTTTAGAGGAACATGCAAAGTGAAACAAACTTTCAGAAGAGCATTTTATTAAACACTTTAAGGAAATTCTACGGAGATAAAAGCACATGCAGAACAGAGAGGACTGAATTAGCAATGAGATGTCACAGAAAGGCAAAAAGTACAGGTATCCTGAATCTATTTCAGAATTGACTGGAAGTTTATGGCACATGGTTCTACCTGCCTGCAATACGCAGGATTTTAGCACTGACTAAATGAAAAGATTTCACTACCAAAAGAATTGTTCTTTAAAAAAGAGAACTCACATCCACAACAGTAAACACACAAAAATGACTTCCTCACAGTTTTTTTTGCTGATCTGAGGTTAATGTTTACCACTCCCTCAAATGACTCAACATACATTGAAGGTAAACGTTGCCTTTCCAGTGTCAAGCCATTTGGCCCTTTCTCACGATCAGGGACTTGTCTTGTTCCACAGAATTCCAGACTACCACCAAGGACTACCAAAGCAGACTTCACGTGAGGTTAGTTGTAGATGTCTTGCCTGTGGTCAATTTAAATGCTGAGATGTATTTTATTACTACTTATGTATACACATGATACAAGGCCTATATAGGCCCCCCCAGTAGTCACACATCCCAATTTTCATGACACAGAATTAAAATGTTTTAATGCCACACGGGCATCCTTCACATATTTCACTGTTCACAGAGAAGACACTTATTCATTTGCCTAAAGACACAATCAACTTCCTCCAGAAACACAACTTTATGGGATGGCGTACATTGATATGATATGACACTCTTGTCATTGGTACTACAGACTCGGTACCATAAAAAGAGGGCAGGTCAGTTCATCAATTCAGTGTTGCAATGCTGTTTGTATGAAACAGTCTACTGAGATGGAGAGGAGGATACCTGCCACTGACGGAATATAGCAAACACCCTTTTAGACTTGTCACGTGGGCCCTGGGAAGAAAGAGAAAATATAGAAATGTCAGATATTATTTAAATTTAAGCTACATAGCCAAGTGGCAGAGCCTGTTATTGCTATGCATGACCTTCTGGTGGATGTGATGGGTAACTTTTGTTGAGACTGCTTTGTTGTAAAATGCAAAGCTCAGAAGTCTCGACTTGCCTGTGCTGGACTGCCTCCTGCTATATTAGAGTTCTTCTTCATGGGCACGAGGAGGTCGAGAGCAGCCTTCCAGCCCTGCTGATGAAGTGCTGCACCGCCATCCAAAAACTGGATTGCCCCTGGATCTACATTCTCCTTTCCTACAGATATCCAGGGACACCAGTCTCTGTGCTGAGCGAGGGGGTCAAATGAATTCTTGTGCAGGAGCCCATCCTGAAATAAAGAAGGTTAGGAGAAAGAAGTAGCTAAAAAAAGCTTTCTGTAATAGCCAATTTAAAATAAGTAAAGGAAACACGGCTCTTAAATGTAACTAGAATTAGGGTCTGAGTTATACAAACTTGTCTTGAATAAGTTAAATACTGGATAGGGCGAACTGTGATTCCCCCCCCCCCCATGATNATGATTCTTTGTTTAACAATGTTTAGTTAGTTTCTGTCCCCTCTACCTGTGTACAATTCATCATTGCTCAGTCATTTGCTGAAGCTACTTATAAAGAAATTGGAGGCACTGACTTCAATGTAATCTCCTTGCTAATGTAAATGTGGCAAAATGTGTCATGCAAGAATCAGACTGAATAGAAGTGTGCAATGAAACTAGGATTCTTATATGATGATGATATAATGATATGATATGACTGAGCAGCCAGTGTTAAAATCATTTATATTACTTTTATATAAAAATTCATATTAGAAGTTATTAATGTGAACTGTGTGCCAATTAAAAACTGATAAAACAAGGTGTGAAATCAGCAGTAATGTTAGTTCTTACAGGACCACCAACTGATGAGAGGCACAGGCGTTTAGGAGGGTGCTGCAGGCTGGCAGCGCCATCCGCCCCGGAGTTGTCCCCTTGTCCTTTACTGCGAGTTGCGGTCCTTTTGCCTCTGGTCAAAGGACTTGGCAGCTCTTCATTGGGGCTTGGCGAGTCTCTGCTTCGAGCACGCAATGCCACGGGGGAGGAAGTTCCCTCACCCTGTAACACACACCAGATTCATTTTCCATTGTTATACATAGAGTAAAGTAATTTTGCTTAAAATGAATATGTGCATAGCGTAGCTTATTTAGCTGGTCAGCCGTCCGTTGATTAAAGCTTGCCTGGTCAGAGCGGGTGGAGTCCTGGCTCCTTAGCTTCATGCGGCATGGAGTTGTAGTAGGGGTGGATGAGGCAGAAGCAGACTGGTCGCCCTGGACCTCGTGTGTAACTGCTGAGGCAGGACCTGTTGCTTGAGTAGAGGGGCCTACAGTGTTTGTAAAGACATCTCCATCACCTCCCATTCCCTCCATTTGATGGAAGTTCCACAAGCCCACCTTGCGCATACAGTATGAGCAGGTGAGGATGGGCAGGTTCATGGCGTGCAGAGCTGGGCTAAGATAGAGAAATCCATGGCTCAGACATCTTGATCAGGTGGAGGAATGCTAATAAATGTTGTGCCATGATTCTCTCAGTTTCAAACATCCCCATGCCTTTCATTTTCAATTCTTTCAATCCATGCAGCTAGTACATCATCGAGGATATATATATATGACGTACGAAATTAGCTTAATGTGTCCTTACTCTAGTTTATAGCAATATCAAGTTGTGTTTACTAGAAAATGTGACAGAAACATTCAAAAGTGTAATGAGGTGTCAAGCACAGCAAAAGAGGAGTATCATCTCACCTTGCAGCCCAGCCACAGAGTGAAACAATGCATGCAGCCACCTGGACTGCCAAAGGTTCAGAACATAGAGTCCCTCCCTTTCTTTTTTGTTCTTCCTCGATCAGCTGCAGTATAACACTGACAACATCCTCAGTCAGTGACTGAAAGGAAAAAGTTGAAATTAATTAAATGTAAAAAGACAAACATTTTTCTACAATCAATCAGACTATCCTTTCCACAATCTCCTGAAACAATAATATATAATGTTTCAGTGGGCATTTTTGTCAGTATCCAATAAAGTTAAGGCTCTTCTCCTGCCTCACCATAGACTTCAGCTGCTCTGGCTTCATGGCTGGCAGCTGCTGTGCAAGGAGACAGGCGCTCTGGAAGCGCTCCAAGAAGGCAGTGAGAAGTGCTGATGGTTCACATGCTGGAACCAGCCAGAACCGCTCTGAAATGACATCAACATTCAGTTTGCCCAGCATGTGGATAACTCAGGGTCAATACAGCTGAAATGACACAGTCATGTTAAAGAGAAGTTTTGTTAGAATGTAAAACGGTTGCTCCCACCTGGGCATGGAAAGTCAGGCCAGGGACAAAACTTCTCATGCTGTGTCTGAAGCTGCCTCGATATCTCTGCAATGCGGGATTCATCTATTAAAGACAGAAGGAGAGTTGCTTGACCTTTAATATTTGGCAGACTGCATAACCTTACCAATATGAGGTGTGACATTGCTTTTTTCCCCTTCTTTCTGTTTTGCTCACATTTTTCAAAGTCTAAAGTTGCTTGTAGTGATGCACAAAGGAAAGCCTGGCAGCTGGAGCACTTGAGCATATCACAGCCAACGTTGATCCAGCCATATCTGGCACACATCAGAGGGGACAGTATCCGGGGTTTGCCTGCCCATTTCAAACAGTGCTATGCTAAGGAAAATGTCACTCAACAAAGTATCGTCACATTCACCATTACTCTGAATGAAAGTAGATATATATGCATTTCCATTATGACAGTTTCATTATATGTGAAATATCAAAATTATAGATCAACAAGTGTTGTCTCTTAGTGTTTACATGGTTGTATAATATAAAAAAGGCCTCATATTGGGTCAAAATGACTGAAAGGATATTGAGTAAGATTCCACTCTTGAAAAAAAGGCTTCTTTGTTCGTTGCCTCGCAAGGTGCTTGAGCATTGCTTTTTACGTCCAGAACTTTCAAATCTCCTTGTCCACTGAAATCCAAGCGAAAAAGAGAAAAACACATATTCAGCATCCACACACTTGCTTATTATTTGAATGGTAAAAACACTGATTACATGTACGTTTACTTTGCCACTGTAAGATTTCTCCTAATACACTAGAATAACATTTTATACAACAAGTAATGAATAAGTGGTAGGTTCATTTGGTGGTGGGTTTAACAGACAGCAAGCTAAAACACAGTGACATGCAATTACACAACATTTCAGCTGAATAAAACGTGCTGAACAACAGAGGGAAAAATGGAGAGTAGCTGCTTCTTCCCAAGAGCTATCTGTTGTATTAATTCACAGTAAAGTCTAACTAAATGTATTGAACCTGACCAAGCAGGTAGGAAATACTCCAGAGATTAACAGCCAACTACTAACTTAACGATAACCTGTTAAGAGTAAAACTTTCGGGTCCCCACCCCCTCATCTGTGCAAGTGTGCACAAGAGAGACAGCCCGACGACCACCGCCACAAAGCTTTCAAGTAAATTGACAAAAAAACAAACAATAAAAGCAACTAATAAAAATGGTGTGTGAACTTCCCTTCCTGAACTAACAGTTACAAGCTCCCAAATCGGTGCAGACGTGCGGCGCTTCCTTCAAATGAGGCTGAGTGAAGGCGGCTAAAGTAGCAGAGCCGCAGAGCTAAGTGGCTAACCAAAACTAGCCGATGCCCCCCCCACCCTCTTTAAATCAAACAAACAGCGCGCCATAATTCAAAACACTCACCTGTTGGGTCCGGTATCTGTGGACGACACCCCGTCGTTAAGAAGTTCACGGACTTTCTCCGGAGAAGCGAGAGAAGACTTTTGTTGATTTGAGTTGCCGAGACGATCCCCACGACTGCCGCCGAGAGTCGCCATGATCGGCTCTGAGGTCCCCCGGAAAATACAACCCTGAAAGAAAATCGTTCCGCTCTCCTCACCGTCGACCTCGTTTGAATGTTGTGGACGGTTCTGCTCTGTTTGGAGATACCAACTATAATATTCTTTGTGTGCATTTATTAAGTAGGAATTGTTATGACAACAGGGAAACAAAGGAATACAAATATGGGATCAGCCAATGAGGCAGCTCAGTTGTTTATTTAATTTTTTACAGAATGAGTTACTTTATTTAAACCAGGATTAGATTTATAGTTTTCTCCTTTTAGTCGGGATAAACTACCTTAATTGATTATTTTGCAAAAGGTTTTTGTAAAAGGTGGTCCGTGGTTTTGTGTTGGTAATCCAGCCTTGGTACTAAGTTACATCAGACACTGCTGGTATTTCATCCTGGGTGCAGATTCAGAGAACCAGCCGACCTTTAATTTGAACTCACACCCAGTAGAGGGCGCTGTTTGGAGGTTTTTAATGCAACGAATCCCAAAAATTCAAGAACTCTAAATAAAAGGGGTTTGTTTTATTCATGGGTATCTAAAAAGCATGTTGTCAGGGATAGCACGCTTCTTTCTTTCTTTTTTTTATCAAGGTAGGGTAAAAGAATGGTGCAATGCATAGTTTATTTTTAAATAAGGTTAACCCTGTTTCGAGATGCACTGACATTATTTAAAAAAGTTTTTAGGATATCATTTTTTGTGTTATTGTTATTTGTTGTGTTTTAATGACATAATGATGGGCTATTCCATGGTTCTTATACTATTATGTTTTTAGACCTAAATATATACACAGTGTCAGGAACAATCCCTGTAAAATAACCCTGTGAGTATATATATGTTGAGCTTGTTGTCCTATTTATTTATTCTTAGTCTGTGTTTGTACATTGAGAGGAACCTAAAACCGGAGTCAAATTCCTTGTATGTGTGCACATACCTTGCCAATAAAAGTGATTCTGATATATACCTAAATAAAATGAAAACGTATTAAGTATTGTCCAACAGAACCTACCTACATACCTGATAACATTCAAACCAAAATGAAGGATGATATAATTAATACATTTAAATAATAAAAAATATAATTAAACACATTTTTTTTTTTTTTTTTTAACATATTTGGTTGGTGGCTGTCTTGTTCTGACAAAATAACCTGCCTAAGTGGGTTAGAAATAACCTATTTCTAAATTATGGACCTAGTAGGATTAACATTTCATACTTCTATTTAACGATTTAACTACATACATTACAAAAAAACAAACTTTATTAAGCTTCTTCAAGTAACAAACAGGCATCATCAATGGATATGGATGCTTATCATACCTAACAATAAATACATGAAAGAAGCATATATTAACAGAAAGAGAGATAAAAGAAAGAAAAAAACCAATTTAATAACCAGACTAAACAAACAAACAAAAAACTACTAAACTAAAAGTTAACTTAAAGGGGGTTTAATTAAGATATAACAGAATTTAAAGAGTCTTCTCCAGTTGTTTTAAGGATTTAAAGAGAATCTTCCAGTCATCCATTTACTACATAAATCATTTCCACGGACCACCACATTTGGGGCCTCGGGCTAAAAAAAAACCAAAAACAAAAAAAAACCTGTTGTTGTTTTGGAGACACGCGCAGTCCCGCCCATCTCTAATGACGCCACGTCCTAATAACAAGCCTTCTGATTGGCCAAGGCTCTCGCGGCCGGGGGGGGTAACATTTGTGAATGGCTTCAAAGTGACTGTGATGTGCGGGGTGGTTTATAATGTTTTATCAGCACTTTAGCACATGCTTTTTATTTGATTTGACATTCTCCAGGGCCGGATTGTAACGGGAAACCATGTCGGACGCTGAAGGTGCTCGCAGTCCGGACCAGCTGAATAAATTCGAGAGACTGACAGGCAGGCCGCCGCACGGTCAGACGCTAGCAGGTCGGTCAACAACGTTTAGCGAGACGTGCTAACGATAGGTTTGAACTTTGAGCACATTTTACCAGTCCAATAGACTTAATAGACCTTAACTGGTGTTGCATTGCTAAGCGTAGCGTTCAAACGAGCAGCGTCCCGTAATGCTGCTTGTTTATCTTTTAATAGCATGCTAGCAGTCATATCCGAGATGGTATGTGTTAACGTTGTATCATTAAAACTGGTTCTCACACCTTTTGTTAAATGCTGCACAGACAGCTTGGTATATTGGCCTGATGCACAATCATTGGTTACTCGGTAAAACACTTCAAATGCCAATTTAAAGGAGCATCATTGTCTGGCAATTTAAATAAGTGGTGTATCAAGAGAATGTATTAATAAGCATTATTCACAGAGCATACTCTGTTGCTCTGGGTGTGTGGGGGAAAAGCCAGAAAGGATTGATTCCTGTTATGTTTTGAGTTTTGTCTGTCACAGATATATGTTAGTCTTAAACTGTTTGCAAGACCAGTCCCACCTGCGGCCCAGCAAAGTCCACCTGATAACCCCCTGACTGATGTTTACATGCAGCTGCAGAAAATATGCAATGACCTAGATGACTGATGGTTATCATAGACGACTGCAAAAACATTTATTTGGTCAGAACTAAGCAATTGCAATACTGAAGACTCTAGATGATGCTTTTAGATTGGTGCTTGCCATTTAACTGGCACCTTCAATTAGCCCTAATTGGTCATATTGTATTAAATCCACTGACATCTCTAACAAATGTGAAAAGTAACCTAAGGCCAGTTCCTCTAAAATCTAAAAACTCTTGCTATGAGATGCTATCGGGAGTTTCACAGTGTTTTTATTATGGCTCAGTAGCAATAAGTATAACAAATGAATGTAGTGTCACCTGGACAGAGGTCTGCCAGTGACCTGGTATGCTATGATTGTGAATGATCTGATTAAGTTTGAGATGATAATGTAAAACAGCCATAGTAATGAACTTGCCCGTTTGTGTTTCTGGCATTCACATTGGATCAGTGTGGATGTTTGGTCATGCCACTGCTCCTACATTCCTCTGCTTTGTATCTGTTAGCCCCCTTTAATCGCTGTGCTTTCCCAGTCCATTACACATCCTAATTATTAAAAATGCACTGTTTGGCTGGAACATCAGTGTGGAGTTGTAGGTAGGCCTCAGTTCTATTCTTAGCACATTAAACAGAGGTACATTATTAGATTTGGCATATCGTGCACTGTACTCTGTCATCGTCTGCCTGCGGATAGTAAACAGTATCTCAAATAGTGATGTTTTATTTTCTTCTATTTGCATAGCTTTCCTTATAAGGTAAAAGTGGGAGCCTTGCAGAGACACACTTCTTGCTTAAGCAACATTGAAAGGTTTTCACAGCTTATTGTCTCCGAGCAGGTGAACTAAGTTGATTCAACTGGGCGTAAACAATACACAAAGAAATGCTATTGCAGAAATATAGATCTATCACCAGGACATAACATAATAAAGCTCCTGATTCCAGAGCTGGCAAAGGTGTTTGCACTATCGCCTCCCAGCTAGGATATATTGGGGCTTTCTTTCATTGAGTTTTGTTTATGTTGCCCATTGTTTTCCTCTTAAAGTAAATTCAAAGTCATGCAGGCAAACTTGAGGTTAAGAATTGCTCAAATGTGACTGAATGTGTTTATGTGTTAGCCCTGGTGACTCATCTTCAAGTGTTAACCCTTTCTGCCAGGGCATGCTGGGATATCCTTCAGCGTTCTGTGACAAGGAAGAATGAATACATGAATGAAATTGGCTTTATTAACACGACGATGCACTGTGATGACTCCACAGTCAGTTCAGTCAGATTTTGTAGTAAATACAACCGATGATATTTTACTAAACTGTACTTTGTGTGTTTATCTAATCAGTCTAGTACTTATCTAGTATCTCAGTTTAAATGATTCTCCTTTCTCCTCCTTCTATGGAGCTTTGTTCCTCCCTCTCCAGGTCATCGTACTCCTCCCGCCCGAAGTGGCCATCGCTGCGTTGCTGACAACACTAACCTGTATGTGTTTGGAGGGTACAACCCTGACTACGATGAGTCAGGAGGCTCAGAGAATGAAGACTATCCACTGTTCAGGGAGCTTTGGAGGTACCACTTTGCCACAGGCTGCTGGCAGCAGATTCGAACAGAGGGCTATATGCCCACAGAGCTGGCGTCTATGTCAGGTGAAACATTGTATATCTAATAGTTTTGACCGTTCTGATACTTAATTGTACTAGCACTCATTAGTATTTCATACACAAAACAAACCCCAGTTTTTCTGTTAAAAAAGGTTTATGAAAATTGAGTTATTTGAATTGTTGCTGTGTTTCTTCAGCTGTTTTGCACGGCAACAACCTCCTGGTGTTTGGCGGCACTGGGATCCCCTTTGGTGAAAATAATGGTAATGACGTACATGTTTGTAATGTGAAGTACAAGCGTTGGTCACTGCTCAACTGTCGGGGGAAGAAGCCCAACAGAATCTATGGACAGGTAACCTCATAATTCATTCATAAGTCATTTGATTTTTTTTCTGGGCCAAATTCAGTTTATGGATTTGAAATATTTAAAAAATTGGTTGTAAGTGAATTTACACATTTTTAAACTTTGACTTCTTTTAGAGCGCCTTCGTACTAAGGCTGTTATTTCATATCTTCTTTCCTTCAGGCAATGGTTATTATAAATGGTTTCCTGTACGTGTTTGGAGGGACAACGGGTTACATCTACAGCACAGACCTGCACAGGCTGGACCTGACCACCAGGGAGTGGATCCACCTCAAGCCCAACAACCCTCCTGATGACCTGCCTGAGGAACGGTAAGCCTTTATGACACCTGAATGTGCTGCAGGATGGGGGAAAATAAGCAGGGCTCTTTCCAGTTGTGTAAAACTCCTTAACATGGTGTGCTATTGTATGTGTGTGCCACAGGTACAGGCATGAAATAGCACATGACAGACAGAGGATCTACATTCTGGGAGGAGGAACTTCCTGGACATCTTACCCTCTGGACAAGGTACTAAACCACTAAGGGTAGATTCACCTAACTCATTTAACTTGTCACTAAAACTGTGGGCCAGCCAGTAATTCAAATTCAAAACGTTTCAAGCACAAAACTCTGAACAATTTAGTTTTGTTTTTATAACTGCTGAAGTGATATCTGGTCTATATATTGTATTTTTCCTCTCTAGCGCACTTAGTTAGCTAAGGAAGATGAAAGAGATTTCTAAAGACTATAAATATAGTAGAGTGACAAAAGATAATCTACTGTGTCTGGATGACTGTTTATTACGGTTTATGTTAGTTTTGTTTTGTATACAAGCCATCTTAATCACTGCACCAAACACTGACTTACACCAGGAAGTAAATAATGTGTCTTTTTAATAGATACATGCTTACAATCTGGAGACCAATTCCTGGGAGGAGATTACAACTAAACCTCATGACAAAATAGGTCTGTAGTCTGCACCTCATTATTATAACTAAGCCTGATTGGTTTTTTATTCACACCCTTCTAAAAAGTCTGTGCTTTTGACAGGATATCCTGCTCCTAGGAGATGCCATAGCTGTGTACAAATACGAAATGGTGAGAATTTTTCAACAATGCTGTGCAACTACCGTCACCTGATAAAAATCCTACTTCTGTTATTCTGCTTCAAAGATAAACAGGTGCTCCTGAAATTTGATATCACATCCTCAAATGTTAAACCGTCAGTCTTAAGTGAAAAGTAACTCCCTATGAGCTAACACATGTGCAACCACGTGATCAGTGTCTGATGGTTCATCTTTCTCCCTTGTAGATGTATTTATCTGTGGAGGCTACAACGGGGAATTGATATTAGCTGATCTGTGGAAGATTAATCTGCAGACTTTCCAGTGGAGTAAACTACCAGCAGTGATGCCTGAGCCGGCCTACTTCCACTGTGCTGCTGTCACCCCAGTTAGTAGAAAACTACGCTTTTTGGTCACTCTACCTATATAAGTTTAATCAATGAACTGTAGTTTGGAATAGCAACAGTCCTTATACCCCAGTTCATTTCTTTGGCAAACTCTCTATTGTGTATAGAAAATGTTAAGTTTCTCTCTTTCCTTCACTCCTTTCCCAGGCTGGCTGCATGTACATCCATGGTGGTGTGGTGAACATCCATGAGAACAAGAGAACTGGCTCTCTTTTTAAGATCTGGCTGGCTGTGCCCAGCCTGCTGGAGCTATGCTGGGAGAAGCTCCTCAAGGCCTTTCCCCACCTGACTTCACTCCCCACCATGCAGCTGCTCAACCTGGGCCTCACACAGGAACTCATTGAACGCTTGAAATAGGCCACACAGTGGAGGACAGACAAATGAATGGATGGGATGGACTGGGCTGGACTGGGAGGAGATGACAGAGCACAGAATTTAATTCACGGCAAAATTCTCGGGAAAAAATGCCCTCTCCCTCCCCTGCCTAACGTAGCCCCGCCTTAAAACCAAAAGCAATGCGATGCCTTTTTTTTGTTCGCTCTTATTTTCCGCAGTTTCAGTGATGATAAAGAAAATAAATGTGGAATGTTTTATGGATTTTACTCAAACTCCCGCCCCCCAGCCACCCCTTTTCCTTACATGATGCCTTTGTGTCAAGGTAAATACGAATTCCCGCTTCTCATCCTCCAAACTGCCAAGCCGGAAATACTTTATTTTGCCATGTCACGCTTTCAAAGACTGTCCTCTCCCATGTTTTTAAAATCTGCCTTCTCTAGTACTTTTAAGAATTCTGTGCAGAGGAAGAATGCATGTATATTTATTTGAAGGACTAAATCTGTTATACTGGGGATATTCTCATCACATGATATTGCTGTTTGCACACTTTGTCTTGCAAATTTGTGGACATTTACTTTTTTTTAATAGATCCTATAAGCTAAGTAATGATTCTAGAAAGTGGCAGACAGTGGTTTTACCAAGGGGCCATGTCAGTGTTTTTGCACATTTTAGCTAATTTAATTTGACATCCTATATAATCTTCATTACTGCTGACATCCTGTAGTGTTTTAGATTTTAAAAATGTTTTTTTTTTTTTTTTGCAACCTTTCAGGCAGCTGTTTTCTTCCTATGGTATGAAAATCAACTTCCAGCAACTTGAAGCTTACATAATCAATCACGCTGATATTAATGTGTTTTTATGGTTGAAGTTATCCGTGCATAACTTTAACATAAATAAACACAGACATGATGTTTACTGTGAGGGATTACCAATCTTAAATTTCAAGTCTTTCAGATTTGTTTTCATACTATATGAATGGAAACCAGTTTCAGCCTGGAGATGAGGGAAAAAACATTAAAAAAAAACAAAGTTGTGGTATGCCTTTAAAGTGGTCATGGATCATGTATTTTATTTCTGGTAACTTAGCTAAAACATGCAGAAACACTGTATGCTCCTCATTAGTATGTGAAGAAAGGGTTCAATGTCTGAGCCTTTGTATTTCCTTTATTTTCCATTATACATAAGGTTTTGCCTGGAAAACCATCTGCAAAAAAAGTAAAAAGTAAGGTGGGTATCATCAAATTGATTTAATTTCCATCTTGTTTTCTTGCAGCTCTCATTTGTAAACCAAACCATGCAACACATCACTGTGAATTTGGTGCTCTTTAAATTTTAATTTAAAAATGCTTTTATTCGAATAAAGACTTAATTCTGTTCAGACTTTTACTCCCTCTCTGTTGATGACATAGAAGATGTTTTGCACAGGGAGTTGCTTCAGTAGCAGGCTTATACAAACATTTGTTTATACTGCAGTGCCTTTTTCAAACTTCTAATGAGGTTGAAATTTCACAAATACAGGCAGTATAAGATCATGTTGAAAATTATGAGTGAAGGTTTTTTCAAGTAAGTGAACATTTTAACCATTTTCAACAAGCCATTACATATAATCACTCAACATCTCCGTGGCAAAAACACCAATTTTGTATCCTGTTTCAAGGATGCAGAAGCTTTGTATTCTGTTCCTTTTATTGGCCAGAAAGAGTGGACTTAAGGACAACATGCAGCATATTAAGCCTTTTGGGTATTAATCCTAAAAGCACTTATTCAACGTGTCAAGTCAGTGTGTTCAATACAGTTCACATGTTTAATGAATGAATTTACCTGATGCCAAATAATGTCGCATCTTGAACAAAGTGTGATTATAATGAGGGATGACAGGTTAGTCGAGACCCAGGATGAAATGTTGCCCGATGGTTTGCCTGCACTTCTTGCCCCTTTATTTCCGTTCTGCATAACACACTACTTTGTGCATGATGTCATTACCTGCTTTTTATATTAACATCATCTAACCTTTACTTTGGGACATAGTTTTAAAGGTGACCACTAAAATGTTGTATAGTAGGCTTGTGTGAATGTTGTATTGGAGTACTGTCAATAAAATTGTTCTGTAAATAGCTCTCTTTTCCCCAATTTCCTTTGCTTGACTAATAATTAGCATGATACAACGGAAATAAAACCCAAACTGTTTTACTTTTTGCATGAACTGCTGTTGCTCCTCCTATTCTGAGAATTCACATAACAAGCATGCCATTTGTCCTGTTAGTTGAGCATACTAAAAGTCTCAATGTATAATAACTAACTTTAGAGAACCAAGATATTAAAATGTAGCAGTAATGAAAATCCAATATAAATTATAGTAAAATCTTTCAAGAAACCATGTTTTTAAATACAAAATGATATAGGTAGTGAAGCACTGGTTCAAAAAGTTGTATCAATTGATGCATTTATTATGTCAAATATAAACCACGTTACAAAATGCATACATGTAAATGCAAGACCAATATATGGATGTTTAATGACAGCCAGGACTGGGAAAATGTTCACACACAGAACACCATTCAGTATCATATACTGCCCAAAAGCAGTCAATCTTTTCACAGCTCCACTGTGAAATGTCAAAAAGCCAATCCAAATTTTCCACCTTTTGTGCCACTGAACACACCACCTGAAGATAAAGGGTTATTGTATTTTTTTTTTTAAAGTGGCATTACATTTTGGAGCCTTAGGATTTTTCTTGGCAAGCAGATCAACACGAGCGTGGAGAAGGAGCAAAGAAGTAAAGGGCCAATAGGATGAGGTAGACCACCACTAGAGCAGTTCCTGCAAACAAAAAAAGAGTTGATTATAGTGTGTGTGTGTGTGTGTGTATAAAAAAAAAGTGAAAAAACAATTTCCCCTAGGGGGATCAATAAAGTGTATCTTCTTCTAATCTACATGATAATTATAGCTTGAAATTGATGATTTCAAGCTCCATTTCTGATGTGGGGAAATCTCTGCCTCATGACTTACCTTGAAAGTAGTCACATTTTCCATCCATGAAGATGTAGTTGACCAGAATGACACTGAAGATACTGGCCCAGAGATGAATGTCACTGAACACTAGCACGAATCCAACATCCTGGGAAATGGGAAAGGTTCAAGCTTTCATGATTTAAACTATTGCATTGTGTAAAGAAATCTATTAATTACAAAAAAAATGGGCACTTACATAGAAGGCATTGAAGAGTATGAGCAGGGGAATCTGTATCATGCAGACCTGCACAGCAATGCAACTGCCTACTTCAAGACTGTAGAAACAAGTTAAAAATGTTCATAACACTCCTCTGGCTCAGTCTGCATCAACTTATGGAAAATTAATGTATGAAGTCTAATTCTGTTCAAAATTATGTGAAAAAAACTTATCATGTGTAAATTTCTGCTCACCAGAAGTACAGGCTTTATAGAGTTAAGAGATTCAGGTTGTGACTAAAGCTATACTACAACCGTGCAGTGGGCTTCAGTCTGTACCTCAGGCTGATGTTGTTCTGCAGTGCAAACTGGATGCCATTGACGATCTCAGGAAGCTCTGGCACCATGGCCAACACTGTGACACCGATGAAGTACTGCATCGAGAACAAAGAAACGCATTGAGGCAGACATTCATTCTCTTTATATCTAAACATATCAGGTATGTTGAGTCTCCATAAAACTACATTTCATCTTAACCCTCTGGTTGCAAACAGCAAGTTGGATTTAGTTTTTCCAAAAGGTATTCCAGGTTGTGAAGTTCAACTTGAATTGTGGGTTTGTATCCTCTGCTATATACTAATATGGTCTTGAAACATGTTTAATTGATCTCTTACTCTTTATAAATACAGTATTTTGAATACCTGGGAGATGGAGGAATGGGTCAGGATGGGCTCGATGTTCTCCGTGCTGAGGTCGGCACAGCAAGCCATCAACACTGTGGCAACAATCAGTACCGCAAGAGCCCTCCACCGGGACCAGTGGACTACATGGTGACCTGCTGGGGCCAGACACACGTTACATGCTTCCCCACTTTCACATACATCCAATCAAGTTCCAAGTCTGAATTTTCTCCCGTATTTAGTTTCTTTACCCTCACATGCTTAAGAGAACATGCACTGACACAACTTGCAACTGCAAGAGAAATGCCTTCCTTACATGCACAAACAGGTTAATATAGCAGGCAGCAGGCAGTCAGTGCATTGCAACTTCATCTTCCTTAGCCCAAACATTACATGCACACCACACACACACCTGCTGCAGCCACCTGGCTGGTGGCAACAATGCTGGCATTAATACACGAGTTGGCTGCGTGGAGATGGCCAGTGGTGACCTCACCAGTGGGCTGGAATGTGCTGGTACCCTCTTGTGCGTACTGACCGTGTGCATGGCTGGCTTGGCCATCGCTGATATGGATATCATAGATGTGGGAGTGAGTCTTCAGCGTGAAAATGAGGCCAATCAGGTATGCAGTAGGCAGAAGCACAGAAATTGTGTACACTAGGGGCCTGGAAACATTTTTTTAAATGTAATAATTAGTTAGTCCACTATCAAGCGGATTACTTTAAAAAACAGTTACAAACAAAATACATTTGTGTGTAGAACCTGAACTTACTCAATTTGGGACAGAATCAAATGAGGGTCAGCTTGACTCTGCAAAAAAAGCAAAAAATGAAGGTGGAAATTACAATCAATCACTTAGCCTTATAAAGCCATATATATTTTAGCTGTGGAGCCCCATAAATATTTATTATTCATGGAAAAAAGGTATCTTGAATGTGTTCACACAAACATCAAGACAACAAATCACATGAATCACACTGCTGGTGCTCTCGTCATTAAGTATTTACCCGAGGAAGGCAGTGCCTTCTCTGGGTAAATACTTAGAATTATTTCGGGGGTCTCTGAGCCTCCAGGCTCCAGTCAGGGACCCTTATAGAATTAAACTGGGCCCCGTGGAGGGCTCCAGGGCCACTGCATTCATCCTGGCTCATCAGTGCATCTGTTTGGAGAACCAGAGCGGAGAGNNCGATCCGGCGGCGTTATTCCCATGTCATTTCCAAGTGCAGGTACAATTGGCCACAAGCATGAAGTCATACTGTATGATGGTTAAGTGAAGCAGCCCACCGTGTCGTAGTGACAGTCCTTGCAGATAAAGGGTACACTGGCATTGCCTGGAATATTGGTGCAGCTTTCACACACCAGATTGCCGAAGGTCTTTGAGAAGAGCGTTGGAGCAAACACACCTAGGGACGATATTTTAAGAGTTATCAGTTTTATGAATCTATTGATGGAGGACATGGTGTTTAAAAATGCAGCTGCCATACAGTACATACCTCCTATGGATATGAAGAGTAAAGCCGAACTCACTCCGGCTGAACGACTGTTAAATTGCTGCTCCCTGTGTTTAATGCCCCCGATGATCATACAGATACCCTGTGCAGTTGACACAGACAGACAGACAGTAAGAGGTTAGTGCATGCAAACTTCACAGGAAGGATTGTAATGCTGACATGTACACATGTAGCACTCACAGGTATGAACAGTATGCACCCAAGCAACGTCCCAGTGAGTGCTGCTTTAACGATCTCTTCATAACATTTGGTGGTAGCCCGGTGCCCCTGCAGCAACGCTGTGATGTAGAATGTTATCTCGGTGATGGAGCCAAACGTCGCGTTTACCACCGCTCCCACTGCAAAATTACTCTGTGCAGAAATGCTGTGGGAATATGTACAGTTACCAATAAAAATATAATTCAATATACTGTAGAATTCATGAGGAATTAGTAGGAAGTTATTGCAACCCAAGTCTGTACTTTTCCTTTTATTTCTTTTGTCTACTAGCCAGGGACAAATAATAAAAATACAGTACCTGGCTATACCCATGCCAATAAAATAGGATAGCGGAATGATGGAAGTGATGGCTGTGGCAAACATGGTCTCTGCATTGAAGTAATTGTGTTCTCTGTCAGTATAGCCAATAATTAGAGTGATTACTACCAGGGGAAGCAGGTCTGCAGGGAACATAGACTTAAGGAGAAAAAAATGGATGGACAGTGAACAGACCAGTACTGTACTGACCATGTACATCTGCAGTAAACAATGGCTCCTTATTAAAATGCTACCTCGATGGGGAGGGGATGGGATGGAAAATTGGTCAAAATGTTTCCAAGTCTTAGGTCCAGAAATAACATTGAGAATACAGTATTGCCATCGGTGATTGGTAATTTACAAAGCACTTTTCATGAAGTTAAATCCAACAATCCAAAGAAGGATACTGAGAGCAAAAATGTTGATTCCTTGGACCGTGTATTTGTAGTAATACACATTGAAAGCTTGATAACAGCATAAGATGACTCTGGTCTTGCACCCAAGTGTCTGAAAGAGAGAAAACAAGACACTCACCTTAACTTAAATATATTAGATGTAAACTGTCAATTAATGGATAACGTTTAAAGGGCAAGTCAAAAGAAAAAAACATTTGTCCCACTTACCTCCAGTGGTATCAGACAGTTTTGTTGTGTTAAGGTTTTGAGATATTTCGCCTGTGTAATGGATTTAGATGAACATATTTTTTTCCAGGAACAACTTCCTGGTTGCACCTTCTATTGAAGTCAGTTCCCAATGAAAACAGTTGACACTGTCAGAGGCAGATATCTCAAAACCTTTGCAAATAAAACCAAAACTACATGTTCCACAGCACTGGGGGATAAGAAAACTAATTTCTTTGTGATCTGGTTGAACTGACTCTTTGGTTGAACTGTAATAGATGCACTATTTAGACTGGCCATTTACACACTGCAAACACTAGAGGCAATATTCATACTAACATGTGGAGTACTTAACTACATGTTACCATAGCCAATAAGCTGGCTATAAAAGCTCTATAGAATAAAAAGAAGCATGACCAATATAGAAAGAAGGGAAAGATTACACACACACATTCCTTGCCATGACATCTTTCTCTTGACTAACAGAAAATGACCATGTACCTTTTCTAGTTTGTGAATCTGAATGTCCTCTGGTGCCATGAGGAGGACGATGGTCATTGTGCGAGCATTCATTTTGAAAACAGGTATAGTGAAGACCAGCAGCCAGGAGAGCACACAGGCCAGGGAGTGGACCACAGCCAGGACAGGGTAACCCAGTAACAACCAAACATAAGTACTGATGCGGCACTGCAGAGAAGGACAAAGAATACTTAAAATCATGAATAATATATACACAAATATTACTAAACTTTAATTGCACCAAGTGATTAAGGTCATTCTGACTTTCTCACCCAGTGGTTTGAAGTTTTTCTGGCTGGTGGCTCTGGGACAGGGATCTCAACCAGGATTGGGGAAGACACTAGAAGAGGTGCAGAGTCCTTGTCCCTGTCAGGGTCCTTATTGTCTCCAGTGTCCCTCTCTTCAGGAATGTTGGGATCCAAGGATACCTTTAAATATGAACTTTTTAAATATGAACTCATTTGAAGTATTTAACTGGACCGAAAAGGATGTTGGGCCTAACCATGTGCTCAGGAACACAAAGGAATTCTCCTGAGGCCTTGTTGGAGCCATAAAAGCCTGTTTGGAGTGACTGAAAGTCATAAAATGTGTGGCCCGCGAAATCTCAGACCCCTCAGTATCATTCGCGTTATTCAAGGGGGTGGTGGCCCGAGGAACCTTTGATATTAATTAAAGCTCATTTTCTAATTATCCTTTTGATTAATTACTAATTATCAATTATAAAAAACCCCAATTTAAAATATTGATTAAACTAATTACAGTTAGACCAACCCTCTAACACCTAAACACAGAGGTTTTTCTGACCTAGTGAACCTGCAGAACACAGGCAATAAATCAACTTGCACAGGCTGGTAACAGCAGGGCAGGGGTGAGACTTACTTTGTCACCGATTTTGGGATTAGAAGGATATTTTAAGTGTTGTGCTGTGTTTCTATTGTTTGATTTAAACTTGACAGATGAACTGAGTAGACCATAACAACCACAATGTTATGTCTGCACCATCACAGTAAATATATAAATGGTAACTGATGTTGATTTGCAGTGCTGAACAGCTTCACTGACACCCCTTACATTGTCCGATATGTTAAACCCCACCCGTAAACCACAATAGATAAACAGACTATAATAAACTGCAGTGGATGAGTGTCCTGACCTGTGGTAATATAGGCTATAGCCTGGAGAAGAGAAGAAAGGAGGAGGAGAAGGGTCGCCTGGCAGGGATGAGGAAGAGCAGGAAGCCCAGAAGGACAGACACTGTTGCATCGGTCCTGTAGCCTTTCCTGAGAGGGAAAACACCCACATATAACATATAACACAGATATAAAACATGCAGAAGAAGAAGAAGAGAGAACACCAAAGTTCAACATAAAGTTTTCTCACGGTGCATGCTTGCAGTGTCTATGTGCTCTAAGTCTGTGTGACAGTGTGTGTTTATGTATTTCTCACTGACAAACCGCACTACCCACCTAAAGCCACTTACACCTGTCTGATCACTAACACTTGCAGTGGTGTGTTGCAAATTATGGGTACTCACTTCTCAAAAAGAGACGTCCAGCCAGGGACAAAACCAGGCTCTCTGGTGAACCACAGCAGAGTCATCAGGATGAAAAAAACACCGGTCACCACCTCCGGGTAGCTGGAATACGCACGCACACATAAAAACCACAAAAGCAAATGAGCAACAGTTACATGAGCGATAACATGATTGTGCCATGATGTCATGTCTGAATGTGTAAGTAAGATACACACACACACACACACACACACACAGGTTACTGCCCACAGTATTGATGTTTATTTGGACTTTAAAATCCTTCAATCAGGTTAATAATTGCATGCATTTCCACACAAATTCAGGCTTTCATTAGTTTTCTATATGTATTTTAATCTTACATAGAGCTGGGCATTTGTGGACAGGAAATGACCAAATTCCCATACAACTTCAAATATTCCAGGGACCTTCAGTTAGGAAATGCATGTACACACCTGATGGGTCCCAGTTTTGCGTACTCCTCATGGATCCTCTTCTCTGACAGCATCTCTCTCCTGGTCTTGCGCTTCTTGCTCAACGAGCATGTTTCCCTAAAGCTGAGCAGACACGCAACAATAACAAACATCAACCACACGGTGACCTGACACACTCAAGAGGCACCGTGGCTCAAAGGTGTGCAGACTCAGGGATTATCCTGAGTCTATAATGATAAGATGCATTACTCTTGCCCAGCAAGTAAGAAGTGGACATGTAGGATACACACACCACCATAATCACACAGTACACCGGGATACAAAAATAAAAATACACACCCAAACACACACATGCACGCACTCACTTGCAGCCAAGGAAGAGGAAGTGCAGCCAGAGCCAGGTGAGGATCAGCATGATGATGGCGATGGGGAAGCTGAAGATGAACCATGTGCCGAAGTTTATCACCTTCGCATCTGGATAACGACTGGAAAGACAAAGAGAAAGACAGAGAGTTTGATTAGAATGTCGGCACGTTTGTGTGTGTAGACTATTAACATTTAACACTTATTTTATACAATGTTGGCTAGAAATGGCTTTTGCAGCCAGTAGGAAGAGGGCTGATGGGATATGTGCAGTACGGAGCACCAGCCACCATCATTTGTTAACAGTCTCATTGACTGTTAATGTAATATATTGATGTTTAAGTACTACACAACCTCTGAACCTTGGGACCACTGACAACACTTGTACTGATAAAAATGGGACCTTATCGGAGTAAGATATAACCATTTGAACTCCATCAGCTGTCTACCTTGACCCTCATGTGTTTGCTTTGACTGACAGCTTTTGTCATTCCCATCTGCGTATATGTGCCATAGTGGGTGGACAGAACACAGTATATTAATAACTTGCTAACATTAAAATTTTAAAAACTTGACTTAGTATAGCTAATGGGAGAATCTCATGATGTTTTGTTGTCTTGACTGTCAATGACATATGGCTTATAACAAATTAGTAAATGTTTTATAACCAGCATTAGTAACAACTAATAAACCCTTCATAAAAGGGTTCTTACTAAAAGGGTCTGCATACCAATTGCTATACAGTAGCTTTGATTTTAAACACATCCCTAATTAAAATCCTTAATTTTCAAAGTGAATGTATTTCACTCTACTCCTTTGAGGAATGAAGCAGAAGAGGGGCAGAAGCAAAAGTAGTAATAGTGATATACACTCAATTATTGTGTGTGTGTGTGTG